GTGTCTAAATTGATATGTCTTACTAATTCACTATGAACTTATTATAAATATTAGTAAACTTTTTTAATGACTAGTTATAGAATTGCTTTTGCGAGTTGACCTGCGATCCAACCGCATCCATCCGCAACCCACCCAACCCAATCCGTAGAAGAATGTGGGTGGATTGCGCGTCACAATTATTCCAACTTGCTAGTAAGCGGGTGGGTCAATTTGAGACCAAAACCCACCCAATCCGCCCATTGCCCACCCCTAATAATGGCGGCCACCTGTGTCCGACCTGCATCATGGAATTCATTAAGACTTCAAATGTTGGGTACCATGAAAAAAGGGAACGATCCCAGAACCGTCCACGTCCTGACAAAAAATGATTTTCGATGTCGAATAAGGGAGAGCCGAGTTTGGAAAGTTTGGCATAAACTCTGTCAAGTTCTGTACCATTACTATTAGTTCAAAAAGTTGATGGATCAATACTGTAATTTTCTACAAAGGACGGTGTCAGCAGTGTTGACTGGAAAATAACTAGTTCGGTACCTAGTACTTTGAAAATTGACATATTTGTATTTTGGTCGTAACTCAATCAATCGGTGTCCAAACGAGGAACAGTCTGCGCTTATGAAATCATAGAAGCGAGGAGAAAATTATAGGAGCGAGTTTTGGAATTACAGAGGCAAAGAAGAGTTGGTTTTGATGGAAATAAGGTTGCGGAGTTGGACCCAAGAGAGATAAGATCTCCTTAGGGTAGTTTAGGGTATTATTCAATCATCATATGGGGGTCATAAATGAGGGTGATTTGTTTCTTTACATCTTTCAGGGTCATCGCCCGAGAAGTGGATTTGGTTTTCCTAATTGCCTAATCTAGTAGTTTGGTATGCCTCTCCGGTTAGAGTAATTAGGTCGGTTAGGAAAACTCGAATAGGGATTCCTAACTAGCTTTGATCTCTTAACGGTGTATATTATATGTGAATCACACTAGAGTATGAAGTCATTGACTCAACATGGGACTAGGGGGATAATCATCCGAGTGAAGCTTTCCCATTGCATTCGACCTTATTTTATTTGCTTGTTTGTTTAGTTCATTAGCTTAAAACAATGTTTCTACCACTAGATAATTTATAGTTTGTTGAAAAGTACTTGCTCTATACTATCCCGATTGAAGGTTCCACTTGGCCTTCCATTGAGAGTGTAGTTAGAATCGAGTCACTTACAAGGTCAAAAGATGAACCAACTCTAAACTGACCATGTAGACAAACTGACCGAACCCGACCCTCATGGTCTTGGCAGGTTGAGGGCTCGGGGCAGGTTGGTGGGTCTTTAGGGTCAAGCTTATACCCCTAAGTTATTTTGTTCTTTGGGATGATCATGCCTCGCCCACATTTCTGACTTGTTAATTGTTGACGCTATGTATGGCCGCTCGACCCACTAATTCATTTGATTTAATGAAGTCTGTTTAAGAGTAAACAGAATCCAGCGAGCCACTGTCAAAGAAAAAAATAATCTAGCAAGTTACTGTTGTGCCTCACTCGTAGGAGCTACTAGATCGAGATGTCTTAATGTGCAATCCCTTGTTTAGGCGAAGCCTTTGCCTTCATCTTCTTCTCTACAATCAACAATGGTTTCTTCAAGGTATTCTTTGAAAGCTGAAGCACCTAAAGGAAAGGTCGGAAATAAAAAAAACTTCATCGACTGAAGTCAAAGAGCAATAATGATCCCCGGGTTGGAATACTACCATATTATTTGAGAGTCATTGATGTGTCTATTACGTTCTTTTATAGATGGGAACTTTTGTTAGCGTGGAACCTAAACTCTTATAGTTCGTGCATCTTCGAAAAGTTTTATGTCAAGGCTAAGTTCTTCGATGACCCATAATGCTTTATGTTCAAGATCTACTAGAAATTGCGGATATGATTTTTTTAGGTTATATGGTATGGCTAAAGACTGTTGATAGCTTGGCAAACCAATTTTTGCGGGAACTATCTACTATCTTTTGCAAGATTTGTTTAAGCTACCAATTTGTGAGCTCAACATGTCCACTAGTTTGAGGTTGGTACGAGATGGATAGTTAGTGACAAATAGAAGTCTAGTAAGAACTTGATCGAATTGTCCTTATTGTCAAATTGAAAGGTTAATAATGATTGCACGATTGCACCAAAGCGAGCAAACAATTTATGAAGAACCTTTGTCATGGATTGAATGTTGTTCGTAGGGAGAGCTTGAGCCTCTAACCATTTGGAGACATAGTCCATTGCAATGAAAATATACATCTTACCTAAGGATGATGAGAATGTCGCCATAAAATAAAAAAAATTAGATGTCAAGTACTTATATATGGAGAAATATTGATTGAGACATTTTGTCCCTTCTAGATACACTATTAATGAATAAACATGCACCATATGATTGTGTGGTCTATAAGAGTCTCGAAAGATCAAATACTGTTAGAACCCACGATCTAAAATCTTACAAGATGTTCTAGCACAACTATGATGCCCTCTGGTTGGTCCTTCATGACAGTGGCATACAATGTTCCTTGATTTGGCTAGAGAGACACATCACTAGATGTTAGGTGTTTTATGTCATATTGAGCATAATTAGATCTATATAATGTAATTTGTAGTTTAGAACGCTTCCTTTTTTCATACTCATATCATGTCATTTTAGGTTACTTTTGACGTTACAAACGAAAAGGGAAGAAAATGGGGTTAATATGTAGGAAAAGGGTGCAAACATAGAGTTTGCAACTAGAGGAGCATGTTTATGGCAAAGAATCACAGCCAGCAAGTCTAGCTTAAGATCACGAGAGGAAGGAGGGAGATCATGACCGCGATCTCAAGGCTCCTAGCCTTGAACTTCAGAAGGAGACATCAAGAAGAGAACAATAAGTACTAACAAGCGGAGCACAACTCCAAAATTAACGAGACATAGTTCACGCCCGTGAACTTGAGGATGCGATCTCTTGTCCAGCCTACCCAAAATGATTGCTTAGCAAGATCGCGGGTATCACACCCATGTCACGGTCGCGATCTTTCGCCCTCAACCTAAACTTGCCCGATATCTCCAAAGACTATAAATTTAGGAGCTGCTGAAGGGAGAAGGAGAGAGCTGACATAAAGTGAGAAAATTAGGGCTTTCAGCAGTTTTAAGAGGGAGAAACACCTTGATAGAGCTTGGGAAAGGTCCAATACATCCAAGGATCTAGGTGGAAGATGCAATCCAAGGAGAAGAAGATGATTCCAAGAATTTCCCCTCTTTTTAGTTTGTATATTCTCTCTCTCTATAACTTGAATCCTTATGGTTGTTTAGGGAAGATGAACCCTAGCTTATAGTTTGTGAATGAGTCCTATGTAAGCATGATTATTAACCTATTTTTCTATGTCTATTGATGTTTGTGCATAAGAATCTCTTGCTTAATTGTGATTGATTTGTTCTGAACCTAGGCGAGAGTACCATCCCCTTAGGTCAAAGGTGCCTTAGACATCAATTATTATGGGATTGTTTGTATCCCATTTGCCTTAGTTGCAATCTAGATAATAGGGGATTATCATTGTCTTGCATATGAATTCATGGTATAATTGGGTTTCACTAGAGTGTTTAATGCTTCTAATTAGGATTTAGATGTGCGTGAATGCTTCTTACCTTGATTGTATGACCTAGACTTCTAGCTAGAGGTCGAGGTGACCATCCCCTTCTAGTTAGATTCTCACCTATTTGATGCTTTTCGTGTAGGTGCGTGACCATCGACCTACACGGCTTGTGTGCAGATGGTTTTAAGCCGTTTAGAGGAGGTAGAACCTACCCCTAGTTGGATAAACTGGTTGAGGTGACATTAGATCGACTATCCTAGCTAGGAGGGAATCAATATAACATGACAATTGAGACGATCCCCACCTTCGTGACCTACGCATCTCAAGATACCATTACTCCATTAGATTATCACCCGTAACAACTTATATAGCTAGGAGGAATTAACCCTAGACAACCATTTCATCTCTAGCGGTCTCCCAACCACTTGGTTGGTTGTTTAGTTAGTTAGGTTAGGTTAGTTCTACCGACAACCTTCCGATTTGATTAGATAGTAGTTTCGAGCGAAGAAATGGTAAGCCTAAGGTTTTCTTGGAATACAACCGAGCTAATTTACTACTTCCATAGCATAGTTATACTTGGCTTTGTTAGGATAGGCATAAGTGTGCATCGACTTACAAATTTAAAGCTTGATCATGCGATCAAGTATTTGATGTCGTTGGTGGGTAATCTTGAGATCACATGTTCAAATCTTTTAAATAGTAACTAACCGAAAAATGAAAACCTATCACCTTTATCAAATTTTTTTTTCTCCCATCCAACCCAAAATTACCATTTTGGTTTATGTTCATAAACAAAATAACCAGTTATTTTGTCAATTAACCCTAACCGGTGCAACCATTGAATCGACCCTCAATACTTTGCAATTTGCATTATTCCTCTCTGGTCCAACCGTGGATTTGGATTCGATATAACGCAAAAGCAGAGATTTCTTGTGCCCCGCGGGCGTCTTTTGGAATGCTGTATAGGGCGTTCTGAAGACTGAAATTGTGAAAAATAATTGAGCAAAGCAGAGCTCAGAAAGAGAATTGCAGCTAGGCGATACTAGGGATTCCTCGTCGCTGCTTCTCGCCGTCCGTTCTCTCATCTTTCAGGCGGCACCTCCATCTGTTGCAGCGTTTCTGTGGCGCAGTGTCTCGGTTGAAGTTCCTCGGGTTCCGCCTGTGGCTCTCCCTCAAATGCTAAGTGCTCTAACGAAAGGGAATTAGTTATACTGTAAGCATCCTCAAACGCCATCGCTCAAACTCAGAAGCCCTAGATTACGTCACTTCTTAGTTCTTTCAGTTGGATTGGGCGAAGTATATCGAGTTCCTTATTATCACTTGATAACGCGGTGACTGCTTTGTTTCTCATCTGTCTACTAAAACGCGCCTCATTTTTCACCTCCTAGGTTTTGGTAATTTCCCATAGACTGTTGCAACATGTCCGTCCCTCCTTTGGAGTGTCTGTATATTACAGAAGACCATCTTCGGGAATGGAAAAGTGGCAATACAAACTATCGTGTTGCTGACCCTGTGCCCATGCTTCGATTCCTCTACGAGCTCAGCTGGACTATGGTATCTATGTGGAACTTCTTTCAAAAGCCGCACGTCCATGTTTCATGTGGCATATTTTGTATATTGATGCATGTTTGCGGCAATTTCTTCTAGGTTCGGGGAGAACTCCCTTTTCAGAAGTGCAAACTGGCATTGGATTCAGTGGTGTTTGCAGATTCGCCGTCAAAGGGCGAGTTGAGCTCTACCTTTGCTGATATAATTACCCAAATGGCTTTAGACGTGAGTAATTTAATTTTGCCATTTGTTTCATTGGTTTTTTTTCTGTTGCATTTCACCCGATAGAGACTCATTTCTTGACTGATTTAGAAGTTGATTTTGTTTATATGTTGTATTTCACCGCAATATTGAAGCGTGGTAATGCTTGGACGGTCTCATTTGGGCAAGAACAGATTGGACATTTGTGATACAACTTGATTATTTGATGATTATATCATATGGAACCTTGCACATGAATAATGCCATGAAAATATACACTATTTATTTTATTCTTCCTAATAAGAATCGTAGTAATGCCATGAAAGGAGTTGTGAAAGTCCTAACTTGAATATAGTCCTGGTTTGCTGTGCATTATTATATTTCATGCGCAGGATTTCAGATTCTCGTTTGTGGGTGCACTAATAGCTCTCATCTTCTTAGTTCAATTATATGTATTGACATATTTGTATCCCCTTCACTGCAGCTTACAATGCCTGGAGATTACCGCGCACGTCTCATAAAGTTGGTAAGTAGCAGTTCCTGATTAGTAAATGGTGCTATAAACTGTTTTGGGATCTGTTATTGAGGATCTTGAGCATGTCCTTGATATAGTGGTGGATATCTGACTAGGAAAGGTTTGGATAGAGCCTTCATCTGTGGAATAGTTTCTGGATAAGGTTTTTGAGAGCGTTTTGGCTTGCTTAATGGAATTGGATGTTGTGAATGAAGGGATAGGAATCTTAAGGGTGCGAAAAGTATTTGTTCAGCCGAAGCTTTAGGCTCTTACTTGCTCAAATGATTTTGGTAATAAACGTCACGGACCTCTTCTACAGCACACATGTAGATGTGCATGTCGCTGTTCAAAGTCATTCAGGTGGAGAACAACTGCAGCATTGATCTCTGTATATTCAAGTATATCGTAGCTACTTATAATAGCAATCATATAGTGGACAGCTACCGAATAAGCTCAAGCTGGTTAAGAAATTGATTTCCTTAATAAATTTATTGTTTGTAGAATGATCTAGGCTATTGTTGGAGGGAGGAGGGGGGGGGGGGGGGGAGGGGGGGGACGGGGACGGGGGACCGCAATGGCAACTTGCAAGGGCGAGTAAATAAAAAGAAAAGAAACCAGACATACTTTTTTGCCCAAGAAGTTTATTCCCACGGGTTTTAAAAGACTACAATCTCCCTCTCTTCTCTTTACCCACACAACCATCCCTCAGCCTTGTAATTACCTACCATTCCCTTATATCCAGGCTCAATTTACATTTTTATGTTCATTTTTCTTTTCTATGTATTTCTTTTTAATTTGACTGGGAATATCTTTTTAATATACTTATTATTTAGCATTTGACTCCTAATTTTAGGCGAAGTGGTTGGTCGAATCTGCGCTGGTTCCGTTGAGGCTGCTACAGGAGCGATGTGAGGTGAGTTCTTGTTTATTTCTTACTTTCATGATGATTGTCAGTTGACAGACTTCAATGCACCTCTGTGCAGTCACTTTAGTGCTTCTGGTTAATGGAATGCATGAGGGGAGTTGGAGAGCCATACATGAGAACTAATAGTGCTTACATTGCAGGAGGAGTTTTTGTGGGAGGGAGAAATGATAAAGATAAAGGCTCAAGATTTGAAGGGCAAGGAGGTAAGTGAACCATTAAGAGAGCCTGAATCGGTGGTTAAATAATATTTGCAAGTATGCAGTTAACATTGTTATGTAGGAAAAGTACAACAAGCTCCCTGAACTTATAGGGAAACCTTGGTTTCTTCCTCTTCATAATCAACTTCAATTTTGGCACTTAATACTGGAATGACATTTGAGGATCTCATGTCCCTATATATTCTGGTTGCTTTCAGGTCAGAGTTAACACTCGTCTCCTTTACCAGCAAACAAAGTTCAATCTGCTTCGAGAAGAGAGTGAGGGCTATGCCAAACTGGTATGGCATGTTTCTTGTTCTTCTTCCCCGAATTTGCTAGAAATTGGTTATCATTTTCATGTTGGTACTCCCAAGGAATCCATAGTTTATTTGTGATTTTCTGCTTTCTAATGCAAAAGTGTATCTAGAGCATTCTGAGGAAGAACAATCATCTTACCCCTCTCTCCTTCAATACATGCTCTAGGGCTTGGTGCCTTCATCAATGTTGATGAAAACTTGCATCATGTAGGGATGGTTTTGTTCCTGACTTCCTGTAGCTTGTTTTAATTAAATTATTTCATGATACCATATAAACAGTTTGATTGATTGTCTACTTGAGTAGTTTCCTCAGTTTAATAATGGTGGTTTATGTTCTTAAAGAAGGATTGGTTGTTGGTATGGGAAGGAAACTAGGTTTAAGGTTACGTTCTTATATTTTATTATTCCTTGTACTGTTACTGTGGCCAGGAAGGTATGTACACCTTTAGTATATGAGAATGAAAATATACCAATAACCCTTGTATTTTGACCACGGGACACAGTCTAGCAATTTTAATTCCAGTTTGTTGAGTTCTAGCAGGTGCTATCTCCAGTCCCTCAACTTATTTCTTAGACCTGGGACAATGTACATTATTGTCATTAGGCTGTGTACTTGTGCTCCTGTGTGACGTGCGAATATCTTCTCATGACTAAGTGAAGCCCAGGGTTATGGTTTCTCTCTATGTTTAGTTTTTTTTTTTTTTTTTTTTTTTTTTTGTAGATATGCGTGGATTGTTTTGTCTGGTGTATAAGCAGTCGATAAGACAGATGCCAATTTTTTTTTTGTTTGGTGGGTTGATGGGGAGAATGCTGTCGGATTGCTTAGTTATAACTCATGTGCCTTGATTGACTCGTTAGTAATAGGGTACTACCTGTTGCCATTTATTCATTATGTTCTCTCTAATTATACACTGTTATTTATCTTTAGTTTACTAGGTCACTTTTCTTTTTAGCATAGTGCAATATAAACCCTATGCTGTCAGGGCTTCCAAGGTTGTGCCTTGTTCAGTAAAGTAGATGCACTAGTTCCTTCTCTCTGGTACTTACTTTTTAAGTTGTCATCAGGTTACTCTTCTTTGTCGGGGATCAGAAGATACAACTGTAAATGCATCAGCCGCTACAATAGGAATCATTAAGGTTCTAAGTCAATTCTTCTCTTATCCTGTTATCCAGCTTGTCTTTGCTCTTGTCTTACACATTTATTTTGTTTACTTGGTGATGCTGTTTTGCAGTCATTAATTGGCCATTTTGATTTGGACCCAAATCGTGTTTTTGATGTTGTAAGTCCTTATTACCTCTAATGCATTTAGTATATTCCACATAGTTTACCACCCAGTCTCTGATTACATCTACTCGTCAATATAGGTTTTAGAGTGTTTCGAACTTCAGCCTGACAACAGAGTCTTCTTAGAACTAATTCCCATCTTCCCTAAGGTACAAACATCTTTTATGTTGTCCTCTTCATACTTACATTATAGATGTTATTAGTTATCTTACTCAATTCACATATATCTCTGGCAGTCTCATGCGTCACAGATTCTTGGTTTTAAGTTTCAATATTATCAAAGGATGGAAATACACAATGCTGTACCCTTTGGGCTCTATCAGCTAACAGCTTTGCTGGTGAAGAAGGACTTCATTGATCTAGACAGCATGTGAGCAATTTCTTGCTTTATTCAAGCTATTCCTTTTTTTTTTTAAAATGTGACATTGATTTGATTAATTGAAATCAAAGAAAGAAATTTTAAGGGTTACCTCAGAGACATTGAGGTCATCAGATGAAACTCTAAAACTACAAGATATAGAGTTCATATTGCACCTCTGAAACTAATCTCCAAGCTATTCCTTTTCTTTGTTGGACATGCATCGACTTTATATTACTTTTGGAGGATAATTTGCTACTTCAAGTTTGTTGGTTAATCCGCTGTTCTATGCGTTTGGGATGATGCTGTTTTGCTGGATCTACTGTTTTTAGGTGTCTCCGTTTGATGTCCTTGTTTGAACAGTTTTAGGGCGCTACTAAGCCATATGATTACTTGTTCTTGTTGTTGCAGATATGCTCATTTGCTTCCCAGGGACGATGAGGCCATAGAGCATTATCATGCATTTTCCTCCAGGCGATTAGATGAGGTATGTTCCAGTGTTGATGGACTTCACTTCCCCCCAACAACCCCCCTTTCCGTGCATTTGAATATGACCTGTTATTCATTATGGGCTACTAGTGAAATCTTATGGTTTTGCTTGAGATGTCACAAGAGTTTTTTTTCCTAGTGGTTCATATACTCTGATCTCATTGGGGGGAAAAACACATGGATGACATTATATATTTTCTTATAGATTTGCATCTTTTTGAAGCTAACATTAGGCTTTCAATTTTTTGGGGGAGCTTGCTTTCAATATTTTCCATTTTTGGTTTTCCCTTATATTTGTGTTTTGAAAATTTTGTAGGCCAACAAGATAGGGAAGATAAATTTGGCTGCCACGGGGAAGGATCTTATGGATGAAGAGAAGCCAGGAGATGTGACTATTGATCTTTTTGCTGCCTCAGATATGGAAAGTGAGGCAGTGGCCGAGCGATCTGCTGAACTGGAAAAAAGTCAAACTTTGGGCCTACTTGGTGGTTTCCTTTCAGTCGATGACTGGTACACTATTTTGGGAATTTGTGTTTAATGCGTCAGTCTTAATATCACGACAGATTAACTGTCTAGATATTTTCTGTTGTTATGCGATCTATATGGTGCATTGAAGCTGTATAGGGTTTAGGAGAAGCAACTGAAGATTTAGGTTATGTTTTGATAGGTGTGAGATGAAAGTACCTGGTGATGGAAGTCTTCAGTCGTTATTATACTTTCAGAAATGATCTGCCTTTTTGAATCCTATCGAACTGCAAAACTGCGGTACAGCTTTTTAGGTTTCTATTGTTCCAAGACGGCAACATATTCTCTTATTTAATTGTGGGTTATTGCTTGTTACTGTTGCCTGTGATGATTTATGCTTGTGTGTTAATGCTCAAGTCTTGAACAAGAATAACAATATGTTTGTCTGTGGTTTTGGATATTCTGGCAGATGCTAATGCTGCTCAACCTCCTTCGTAACTGGAAATTATTCTTATAGTTTTCTATTTTTATGTTTTCATTTTTCAGGTATCATGCCCAGATGTTGTTCGATCGCCTTTTTGTGCTTAATCCTGTGGCACATGTTCAAATATGTTATGGTTTGTTCAGGTAACTTCACTTCTTCCATGCACAAGCGCTACATTGGTGTATCTCATGGGTTATTGAGGAAAACTGCATTCTTTCTCTTCTTCCGTTTCAGTTTGTATCGGACAGTTAACCATCAAATTGTATGTTACACACCTTGAGACTTTCCATCTCAATCTTGTCTGAAAGTGATTGAATTGTACTCCTGACATTGTTTCTGTCTGATGGCTAGGCTCATTGAAAGTTGTCCTGACATTGTTTTTATCTGATGGTTAGGCTCATTGAAAAGGCAATCTCTTCAGCATATGACATTGTTCGCCAGTCACATTTTCAATTGTCCGAGTCTCCTACAGTGGTTGGGGTTGATGTTATGGATGCAAGTGCTCATAAGAGATGCTCAGTTTCTCTTCCGAAGGAACTCTTCCAGATGCTGGCTGCTGTTGGACCTTACCTTCATCGCGATACAATATTGCTCCAGAAGGTTGTTTGTTTGCTCCTTATATTCTATCGATAACAAGAATAATGTTGGTTTCCTAATCCATTTCTGTTGGTCTTACAAAGGTCATTGTTCTATCTGGATTTTATTGGCAGGTGTGTAGAGTTTTAAGAATATATTACTTGTCAACTCTTGAACATGCAACCGACGGTGATGGAGCTGCACATTCTCAGCCTACATCTGGAAATCAAGCCTGTCGCCAGCTCCTAAGGGATGCTAGGTCAAGAATTGAGGAAGCTTTAGGATCATGTTTGCTTCCTTCATTACAGTTGATTCCTGCAAATCCAGCAGTTGGGCAGGAGATTTGGGAAGTTATGAGTCTCCTTCCATACGAGGTTGGTGTGTGAATTAACAGAATGTTTTGTTCAGATTTCTGAATGCTAGACCTGGTATAAAATGTTGCTTCATGAATTGACTGTTTCCCTAGGTACGTTATCGGTTATATGGCGAATGGGAAAAAGACGATGAGAGGAATCCGATGGTTTTGGCCGCAAGGCAAACAGCTAAGGTGTGACGTCGGATGTTAAAGCTGTAGTATCGAGTTGATCATTTGGTGCTGAGGAATATTTATTTATTCCTTGTTGGTTTCTTTATTCACTGTGCTGCAGTTGGATACTAGAAGGATCTTGAAAAGACTTGCAAAGGAAAATTTGAAACAGCTGGGCAGGATGGTTGCCAAACTTGCACATGCAAATCCCATGACTGTTCTTCGGACTATTGTTCATCAGGTGTTGTATCAGTGGATCATGCATTGCAGCCCTTTACCAAGTTTAACTATAATTATCTGAAGAAAAGTTTTATCTTCCTGAACCATCGGCTGCAGATTGAGGCGTACAAAGATATGATTACTCCAGTTGTAGATGCTTTCAAGTATCTGACACAGGTATGCATTCTCTTGTTCATTAGTTATTACTGGTGAAATTCCTTTTACCTGCTGACAGTATGATCTTACACTGGAGTTTTGCTGTACATATCAGAATGGGATGACCTCTGTCTTCTTCTGTCCCTTATTTAGTGCATAGGGATTTCATTTGTTCCTTTGTCATTCAATCATAAACTGAGATGTTATGAATTAGTTCCATGCATACATAGAATTGAGGTGTACTATTAAATTATCAACCTCGGAGCAGCTAACTTGGAGTGAGGATCCAGTGACTAAGCCCCTCCCAGCCTTTAGATCTGGATATAGCAATTTAATGGTTAAAAGTGGGAAGGACTATTTAATTAATGACAGGGGTAGTTTGGGTATTATGAAAAATTACGAAGTATACAAACCGGACTTATAATCAGTACAAACCATTCAAACATACGTACAGTACAAACTAGAGCAACAAAACATACAAACAGATTTACAAACATTACAAACATATGCACTGTACAAAAAATACAAACTAGACCGACAAACAATACAAACCATACAAAAAGAAAAAACAACCAGGTTGACTTTGAAGGCTCCATCCCTATATAGAGGGGCTCCTTTCCAAAGTCAACCCGGGTGTTTTTTAGACATACAAACATGGTGGACAAAAATGACAAACTAGTCCAAAAATTCATACAAATTTGAAAAACACTCGGGTTGACTTTGGAGGCTTCATCTCTATATAGAGGGCTCCGTCTCAAAGTCAACCCGGTTGTTTTTTAGACATACAAACATTACGAACATGATGGACAAAAATGACAAACTAGACCGACAATCCATACGAATTGGAAAAAACACCCTGGTTGACTTTGGAGGCTCCGTTCCTATAGAAGAGTTCTATCCAAAAGTTAACCATGTTGTTTTTTAGACATAAAAAACATTACAAACATGGTTGACAAAAATGATAAACATGGTGCACAAAAATAACAATGTTTACAAACATTACAAAAAATCCGACAAACATTACAAAATAACAAAGTGTACAAACATTACAAAATAAACCGACAAACAGTACAAAACATACTAACCGTACAAAATGTCACTAAAAATGACAAACAATACAAACCGAATCTATACAAACATTACAAAATAGGTAAGGAAACATCACAAATCCAGCACTGTCGCCGGGAAATTTTCTCCGGTCGCCAGAAAACTCTCTCCCTCTCTGTGTTACGTGGGATAATTCCCCCTGGGAAAATTCACTTTCCCCCATTGCCCTCTCTCTTTCTCTCTCTCTCTCCCACCTACCAGCTGTCCTCACCGCAATGACCGCCGGGCCGGAGAGGAGTTTTATTTCCGTTTGCATTATTTTAATTATTAAATAAGTAATTTATGTAATTACTACATTGTCCTTCATTAAAATGGATTAATCTGATCCATTGGATTTTAATGAGGTGGAAGGGCTAGGATTCACTTAGTCACATGACTAAGGGGACCCCCCTTAGTCAGCTGCTCCTAGCCCAGCTAACTTGTAAATAAAACCTTTGTATCGTCTTTTTGTCAATGTCATTTTCGACAGTTTTAAATGTCGTCGTGCATGGTAGAACTAAGATCATCAAAGATGTCTAATTCCATTTTTAGAGTAATTTAATAGATTTAGATTTCTGTATGAAACCATGCTTGGAAGCTATTGGAAGTAAGTTTTAAATGAAGATTTGGCCATGTAACTTTAATCTACTCATTGCTTCTGTTTCTTGTACAGCTTGAGTATGACATCTTGGAATATGTGGTGATCGAGCGCTTGGCTCAGGGTGGTCGGGATAAGCTAAAAGATGACGGCCTTAATTTGTCGGACTGGCTCCAGTCGTTGGCGTCATTCTGGGGTCACCTGTATGTATATTGTGTTCTTTTCTGATGTTTGGGATTCCTTATTTGGTGGATAATTGTTGTTGAATTCTGTCTCGAGTCTCTAAAGTTGTTCAATCTGCTATTCTGAGTGGTCTTTTCTTCATTTTCTTGGATACAGTTGTACATACATATTGTTTACGTGGCTGGTTGCTACCGAGTCTACCTGCTTGTTTGATTTTTTCTGAACTCCTTTTATACGAATGTGGTGGTGTTTTTACTAGTCCACTTCTGGTGATAGTTATGGAGATCAATTTCAAATTTTACAGCATTTTGATCGAAAGGTCATGTTTTGAGATGCTTTCCTTTCGGTGTTTGTCTCCAGATATAGCTTGGGCATGTCCGCTTCGCAGTTGTTTGCTAATTTCCTGCTCCTTTTTTCCCCTTAGGGTTTGTGGTTCCAAATTTTTGTCTAAGCACCTGTTTCTTTCATAGTCCCTTGATTCTGTTCTGAAGACCCTATATTTTTACAGGTGCAAGAAGTATCCATCAATGGAGCTAAGGGGTCTTTTCCAGTACCTTGTGAACCAATTGAAAAAAGGCCAAGGAATTGAGCTTGTACTTCTCCAGGTATCTTGCCTATTTGTATCTTGATGGCATGTTGCTGTTTAAGTGATGCAATTAGGAATCAACATTTTGGATGTTGTGTTTGAAACAGGAGCTCATTCAGCAAATGGCAAACGTCCAGTACACCGAGAATCTGACAGAGGAACAGTTAGATGCCATGGCAGGGAGTGAAACTCTTCGTTTTCAGGCTACTTCTTTTGGGGTAGCACGAAATAATAAGGTAATCTTTTTGTACATTTTGTTCTGTGTTCCTCATGTTAGTAGCTAATCATTAAAATGAGCCTACCTATCTTTTTGGAACCAGACTTTTTTCTTCGAAAAGCTTGGGCTTTTATAATTTTTGTTAGGTTTTTCTTCCTGGATACGTTACCATATAGTAAGTTATCTTTTCAGACTTGGAGACACGAAGTAGTTGGATGTCATTTATCTAAAATACGGCTCTGAATTTACAAGTCTTCTATATTCGCTTAGACAAGAGTAGGATGCAAAGTTCCAGTTTATATTTTAAGTGCTTTTTGGTTATTTGAAGCTGTGAAGTGAGATAGGCTCTTTCATGTCTTGTATTTAAAATTAGATGACTTATTTCCGAGGATTTAATTTCAACAAGTGGAACACCGTTCTTCTCTCTAATTTTTGGTGGTTTTTTATTTTGCAAAGTTAATTTTTGTCTAACCTCTTATGGTTATTTACTTGACTTTGCACTGATCAATGAGTTTGTCATTGTATTATAACCACATTGCTTCCTACTTCATGTTGTCCTTTTTTTTTTTTTTTTGCGTTCTAGTTTATAAACTAATTATTTCTGAAAAGGGAACAGAATTATCTGGAAGATGATAGGTTTGTTTCCAGATGCAACTAACTTATTGGCGACTGATCTGATGTTTCTGTTCGAACATCTTTTCATGCAGGCGTTAATCAAATCTACTAACAGACTCCGCGATTCATTGCTTGCAAAGGACGAACCAAAGCTGGCCATCCCCCTTCTGTTGCTTATCGCTCAACACCGTTCAGTGTATGTTAACCTTTCTAACATAACCTATTTAGTTTCTGATGAGAAGATCTTCAGTTAATTATTCTCATGGTGATTGGATGCAATATATACTATACAATTTCCGGACTCCTATATTCCATGTGCTGTCCATGAATCTACCTGATTGTACTTTCCCTACAGAGTTGTCATAAATGCAGATGCACCATACATTAAAATGGTTTGCGAGCAATTTGATAGATGCCATGGAACTCTTCTTCAATTTGTGGAATTCCTAGGCAGTGCAGTGACCCCAGCCACTGCTTATGCAAGAATGATTCCTTCTCTAGATGATCTTATTCACCAGTACCATCTCGATCCCGAGGTCTCTCTCTATCATTTCTTATGTTTATAACGTGCTATTTTATGTTCTAAAATACTTCTCCAGCAGTTATAGTTACTCTCAATTTCAAGGTTATTCCTGTCAGTTTACTTTTTGAAAAGCATTGTTTTGTTTGTAGCATTATGCATTTATCTATTTTTAATTCTAGTAGGCTTCTCGTTGAAAGAAAAATAAAAATAGCTTCTAAAAGGCTTCTCCTCCACTGTAGGTTGCTTTTCTGATATACCGCCCAGTAATGAGGCTCTTCGGGTGTGAGGGGAGTTCTGATGTTTTTTGGCCTTTAAGCAACAATGGAACTGCCCGTGCTGCAAGTGCTGATATGGAGGCTGAACCAACTGAATATTCTGCAAAATTGACTCTCGATCTTGGGTCTTCTAAGAAACCTATAATGTAATGTGTTGTCTTGGGGTATTGTGAATTTCTTACATTGATGCATTTAGCAGTACCTGGACACCACGTTTCCCCATCATAATATGCTCACCTGTCATATGCTAGCATGAAAAGCCAGAAGGTTGGGGTGTTTGGGTGGAACAAAAAAGTGAGAAGGTTTTTTTTACCTTTACAGCTGTGTTTTTCTCCCATCTAATAGTTATGGCTGATTTGTATGCAGGTGGTCAGATTTGCTTGAAACTGTGAAGACCATGTTACCTTCGAGGGCTTGGAACAGCCTCTCTCCAGATCTTTATGCAACCTTCTGGGGGCTAACCCTTTATGATCTTTATGTTCCTAGAAGTCGTTATGAGTCAGAAATTTCGAAGCTGTATTCTTCTCTTAAGGCTTTGGAAGAGCTTTCTGATAATTCAAGCTCAGCTATTGCCAAAAGGAAGAAAGACAAGGAGCGCATTCAAGAATCTCTAGATCGTTTGACTAGTGAACTCCAAAAGCATGAAGAAAATGTTGCATCTGTTCGCCGGAGGCTTACCCATGAAAAGGACAAATGGTTGAGTTCATGCCCTGATACTTTAAAAATTAATATGGAATTCCTTCAACGCTGTATTTTTCCACGCTGCACTTTCAGCATGCCTGATGCTGTCTACTGTGCTGTGTTCGTACATACTCTACATTCCCTTGGGACACCGTTTTTCAATACTGTAAACCACATTGATGTTCTCATATGCAAAACCTTGCAACCTATGATATGTTGCTGTACTGAATATGAAGCTGGCAGACTTGGGCGTTTTTTGTACGAGACACTGAAGATTGCTTACCACTGGAAGGTAACATTCCGTTGATGCGCTCTTTTCAAAATATTTTCTTCTTATGCAGCTTTCTGCAAGTTCTCTTTCGCTAGTGATTGTATAACTTGATAAGTCCATTCAGATGTTGTTACACTCTTCTTTGGTGAATATTGACCTTTGAGCCCTTTGTCATTCCAGAGTGATGAATCTATATATGAACGTGAGTGTGGAAACATGCCAGGGTTTGCTGTTTATTATAGGTTTCCGAACAGCCAACGTGTTACATATGGCCAATTCATTAAGGTGAGTTTTTTCTTTAACTAGATTAAAAGTTTCCTTTCATTTGACATGCATTTTCTTGTTCAACTGTGGATCCATCATATGAATGCTCTATTTTATGGCGTTAACTTCTGATTTTTGCCACCAGGTCTTATTGTCTTCTTTGGCTGCAGTTTTCCTTGACATTGTTGTATTAATTACAAGTAGGGGCTGTGATTTATAATTTATTTGTTAATTGGCATAGCCTGAACTTAGAGATGTTACCATCTTGACTTTTCCATGAAATTTGGTCTGTAGTGGAGGGTGGTGAACTCAGAATACACATCGGTGTACTTTTTCTGTTTAGTTATGGTACTTATCACCGTTAGAGGATTCAGGGGTTTAGGGTAAAAAACAGGTTCATTAGTAAGCATATTGTTGCTTAGCACCTTCCACGTGTCATTTTCTTGTCCCCTCTGCAGTGCCCTCTCCCCGAGCATTTTGTTGCTCATTACTCAAATTGTAGCTTGGCATGTCTTCTAATGCTTTTGCTGTGAATATTATTTGCTTATTTTTACTTTGGGCCATGTCGTAGGCCTATGTGTGGTATTTTCATGGTTAGTTCTCAGGAGTCGTGGTAAATAATGGTGAAATTTATCTGTCTTCAGAGTTGAGATTATGAATTGTCCATCAAAGGGTGCAATATGATTGCACTATGTTTCAGCGTTAAATCTGATCTGGTACCACTATTCCCTATTTGCTATTAGGTGCATTGGAAATGGAGTCAGAGAATCTCACGACTGTTGATACAGTGCCTAGAATCATTGGAGTACATGGAAATCAGGAATGCTCTCATTCTGTTGACAAAAATCTCAAGCGTTTTCCCTGTGACCAAAAGGAGTGGAATTAACATTGAAAAGCGGGTAAGAGACTTATGATTACAAATATATTATAGCTCTTTTGATTTCACATAATTTTCACTGAAGGCCTGCCTCTGTCTTTTCTTCTTACAGGTAACAAGAATAAAGAATGATGAAAGGGAGGATCTTAAGGTTCTGGCTACTGGGGTTGCTGCTGCTTTGGCCTCTAGAAAGGTTAGTGTTCTGCTTATTAGTATCTGAAAGATAGGTGGCAGATTTGGTAGGGCATTGAGCTTATCTAGTATTTTACTAATTGTCTTATCAAAATTGCAGCCATCATGGGTTTCAGATGAAGAGTTTGGCATGGGATATCTTGACTTGAAGCCCCCAGCTGCATCAAAATCTCAATCTGGGGCTGCAGCACCTATGCACAGTAGTTCTGCAACTAATGCTTCTCAAAATGAAGTCAGCAGTGCGAAGGTGCGAATCACTGGCACCCACCATGGCGATTTTGGAATTTCATCAAGGGAACAGATAAGTAGAGGAAAATCTTCAGATGGGAGGCTGGACAAAATGGAAAGTGGCTCGCACGTAAAATCTGATGCTGGGCATCAGAAATTAAAGTGTGTTTCTTCTGCTGATGGAGCAGCAGATGGTCAGTTATCTGCACCATTGGTCGCTGTTCAAGCTGGGTCGTCAAGGTCAGCCGAGAATCAGAAACAATTGGAGAAATTGGGTAATAGAGAAGTGGATGAATCAACTATCAGGCTTGCTTCGAGGAGCTCTGTGGAGTCGGAGGTACTGTTCAAAATGTGTTTGTTGTTTGAGCAAGATATTCGTCATCTAATTCTATGGGTGCCCCTAAGTAATGTTGTTATGTCCTATCGAACTTCTGTTTTCAGATTGATGTCCCCTTAAATGCAGCCCACTAATAACGCACTATTGCACAGTTAATTACAAATGAAATTAGAGCGCAATTGACGTAGTCTCATCCTTAATTAGGATGCTGTTTTGATCGGTTAAAATTCCCCTCTTTTTACACTAGTTTATACAACTTCCTTGCATCTTGTTTTGTTTGACTTGCTCTGACGTACCAATCTGCTGCCCTCAAAATTTACTTGTGAATAATTTGTGATCTGGTCTGAGTCCTTAAGCACAACAAGTCTTTTTCCTCCAGTTTTGAAATGGTTGCTGAGTGGTAAGTTTTAATTTGGAATGTGATAGAAATCCAGTTGAATTACCTGTTGAATTAATTCTTCATCCTTGAATCTATATTTTGCTCTTATGTTGGTCATCTTCTAATATGTTTGCTAGTATAAAAATTTAACAGACAAAGACTTCTGCAAAACGAACAATTTCTGCCGGAGTAGCTACCAAGACACTGAAGCAAGATCCTACTAAGGATGAGAGCAAAATTGGAAAATCTGTTGGCAGAAGTTCTACCAATGATAGAGAGGTTCCTGGTTCAGCAGTTGTTTCTTCAGCAGTTGCATCAAACGGTAATGCAATTCCATCATCTGCTAAAGCAACTCCATCTGCCAGAACATCTGATACTTATCATAATAATGACTTAAAGGCAGATGCCGGAGTTCCCAAATCTGCAGATGCATCTGAAATAGCTGAGCAGAAGATCCCGTTTCGGCTTGTTCATTCTCCTAGGCATGAGGCCTCTATTTCTACTTCGAGGTCTAGTGATAAGTTGCTAAAGCGAGCAAGTCCTGCCGAAGAACCGGACAGATCAGGAAAACGTCGAAGAGGCGACACTGAGTCTAAGGATTTGGAAGGTGAAGCTCGGGTTTCTGACTGGGATAAGTCTACCGATACTCGATCAGTGGAACTTGATAAGATGGGGAATGACGACCAGTCTTTGCATAGAATGACTGAGAAACCCTCAGATAAATGCAAAGATAAGGGCAGCGAAAATAAATATGAAAGAGACTTTCGAGAAAGATTGGATCGCCCAGACAAGTCTTCTTTGAGAGATGATAGTATCCCTGAAAGGCCCCGAGATAGGTCAATGGAAAGATATAGAGAGAGATCCACTGAGAGGGGCCAAGAAAGAGGTACTGACAGGGGGGGCCATGATAGAGTCCCAGAAAAAGTAAAAGATGAAAGGAACAAAGATGACAGAAATAAATTGCGCTATAGTGATTCATCTACGGCTGATAAAGCTCACGGCGATGATCGATTTCGTGGTCAAAATTTGCCTCCACCGCCACCCTTACCTCCGCATGTGGTTCCCCAGTCGGTAGCTGCGGGTAGAAGGGATGATGACTCTTCTGATAGAAGGTTTGGAGCTAGTACCAGACATGGGCAGAGGCTTTCTCCAAGAAATGATGAGAAGGAACGAAGACGATCAGAAGAGAATTCTGTGGTCTCACAAGATGATGCAAAGCGTAGAAGAGAGGATGATTTTCGGGAGAGAAAGCGAGAAGACCGGGATGGACTCAGTGTAAAGGTAAGTAAGCTTTAGCTGTTAGTCACTGCTTGCATTTACTATCAAAGGCAGATGATCAATAGTGGTTTGAATCAAACTGACATAGTGGCTTAGCTCGTCTTGATTATTGTTAGTTAGCGGGTATGACTAGCTGAAATTTGTCTGGTCTCTCCATTTGTTGGGTGTTTTAGGCCCTTACTGCATGAATGTTGTGAACTGGTAGGCTTGACACTCTTGGGCTGGTACTCAATGTGATGTTGAAGTTTTCTCTGTTTTTGTTTGAACCACGTTAGGCATATTAGCCCACGGGAATGAGATATTATTTCGTCTATGCATGAGAACTCAGATACCCACATGCATCATGTTCTCTCTTCTGGCAGTTTTAATTTAGAATGAGTGAAAAAATGGAACATAGGCTGTGGAAATCTTCTAACTCTCAACTCCAACTTGCCATGCCTAGGTGGAGGAGAGAGAAAGAGAGAGAGAAAGGGAAAGAGAGAAGGCGAATTTGTTGAAGGAGGAAACAGATGCTGCTGCGACATCTAAGAGGCGAAAGCTTAAAAGAGAGCAGTTGCCAGCCGGTGAAGTTGATGAATATTCTCCAGTGGCCCCGCCACCACCTTCCCTTGGAATGGGAATATCGTCTCAATCATATGATGGAAGGGACAGGGGAGATCGCAAGACAGCCATGATCCAACGGGCAGGATATATGGAAGAACCTCCTGCCAGAGTTCATGGTAAAGAAGTGGTTAGCAAGGTGGCTCGTCGGGATGTTGATCCGTATCCTTACTTAAAATGTTTTTTTTACTACAATCATGGCAACTGATTATTTCCACTATATTAATCTGTGTACTTATCTCTGCTGCATCACTACTAAAATCACCACGGTTTGTATGATGACCATAGTTTTAAGTTGGTTTTTACTTTCTGAATCGTTTATTTTCTGGCAAGTGGACTTCCTTAATCAGTTATCAGAATGTACGAGCGAGAATGGGATGACGAAAAAAGGCAAAGAGCTGAACAGAAGCGGAGGCATCGCAAGTAGGGCAGCAACTCCTTGAAGCTGAGATACACTTGTAGAATCTTACACCTTTTAATTTCCAGCTGTTAAACTTCACGCAGGCATACTCTGTCATAGCATCTCGAGTGGTGGATGTGATTTACACCTTTTACTTTATAATGCTGTCATTTCTCCCGTTTGGTTTCTGCCTGTTGTAAAGGCAGTTGGTCTCCACCATTTTTGAATGATAGTGATTCTGTAAATCTAGCTCTGTAGAATAGTGTTGTGTACTATGGTAGATGCTTTTTCCGGAAATTTTGAGAAAGACTGAAAGGGAAAGATAGGATTAGCGTCATGCGTCTGTTTGATCGGTGTTGAATTGAGGCGATTGTTGGTTTTGTAAGTGAAATGGTTAGTTCGTAGCTCAGGGCACACCGTGATCCTGCTACTGAAGTGGACTCATCTTTGTATTAGTGGAGTCAACCGAGTGGAGGTGATGCGGCTTTGTAACTTTGTGTTGTAATTTTGATAAAATGAGTAAAACACTGTAACTGTCTAGTCTAGAATAGGAAGATTCGAAATATTTTGTAGGCTTAGCGAATGTACTTTCGTTAAAAAATAATGTGGCGCACATTTTTGTGACAATATTGCCTCTACTGCGTGCCTTTGGGCTATGCACTAGTTTTATGGCGTTGAAAAAACAAAGAGAATCCAATGAAGTAATTTACAGAAAATGAAACAAACTTATAAACATTCTTGTGAGGAGTAAATCAAGGTAATAGGAAGAAAGCAGTGGCACTGTTGGGATGGGTTAACATCACTTCCCCAAAGTTTGAAGGGGGATTAGGTCTTCGATATTTGCAGTCTTAGAATGTTGCTTGTGTTGCTGGACATATAAGATGTGTCCAGCAAGGATCCCTTTGTGTGGTTTGGATACTCATATAATCAATACTCAAATAAAACATCATGTGAGAACCCACAAGGGTTTACAAGCCTATACAATTGAAGGAATTCGTAACTCACATGTGCAAGGGTCACAGAGGGGGATGAAAGGAAGAGATTTGACCTATGCCATGGAAACCAACGGTCGTTTCCCAAACATGATGCCACGATCGCCATTTCTATTGCCATTCTGCTCCACTGAGGTTTCAGGCCGAATCACGAGCTTCAGAGCTTCCTTGGAGGAAGAACAATCCCCCTGTAGAACTGCCTGTTGACAAAAATATACTATTTTAGACCCATATCTAATGGTACATTTTGCATGGTTTTGTATCTTTATTGCCATATTGAGAGTTCTTCCCTCAATGGAAAACCAATGATTTGAGAGACCAGATTGCTTGTTCAGGCAATGCACCTCTGAATCTCTATACGATGCTTGGGAGTGCTTCCAAGTAGGGGTGTAAGTTTGGCCCTTAAAACCCACTGGCCCGCCCCGACCCGTAGGGTCGGGCTAGGTCAGTTTGTCTATAGGGTCAATTTAGGGTCGGGTCAGCTTAGGGTCGGGTCAATTTAGGGTCGGGTCACTTTTTGACCCTTAGCATCATACAAACATGTTGGACCTATTTGTAAAATTTTAAAAATTTAGGTACTAAATTGTAAAAATTAAAAAATTTGGGTACCAAAACGTAATTTTACCATCAAATTTTAGGGTCAGACAGGGTCATGAAAGAAACAGGGTCGGGGCGGGTCAGTTATACATCTTGACCCTTCAGAGGCGGGTCAGACAGGGTCAGGACAGGGTCAGGGGCGGGTCGAGCCAATTTTCAGCCCTAACATTAATTGCCCGACCGGGGAAATGCCATTACAAACCGGGGAACTCGTCCAGGGATTTTCCCCGGTCGTGACTCCTTGTTCCCCGATCGGGGATTCGAACCTGAGGCTAGGGAATTGGATGCGGAACTTAAGTGGCTGCGCTGGCGTTTTGGAAGAAACCCGGCCTGGGCATCAAATTACCCGAACGGGTAATCAGGCCAGGGGTTCGAGACTCGAGCTGTTTAGATTCAAACACGGGTTCTAATGATTCGTTGGAGTTTTGGAGCAGAAAATAGATGTTTAGAGAGAAAGTAACGAACAAAGACCCTTGAGTGCTCTAGATCAAGTTTTCCCATCATTGGAGCTCGATTCAAGCCTCGCAGAGTGACAATTGACGATCGGGAGTTGGTTTCTTCCGTCTGCACGATGACTTCTACATCCGACATGGCTTTCCTCTCTATCTATGGAGTAATTTGCTGATTTCAGCACCGCAATATCATCTTAGCAATTAACTCAAATGGGAATCAATTGTTGGATCACAAAGATAGAAGGTGGCAAATTCAAAAGGGAAACAAAGAAGGAAAGTCCAAACGGCTATTTCCAGAAGGACTGTTTATATAGTGACAAGAACAGGAGGAATAGGCAGACTTTTCGACTAAGACAATCTGAGAGCACTAAGGGGTTGTGCGAGTGATTCGAAAGTGAAAGATCAGCACAAAAATGAGTGAGGTTTTCTGGGTTCTGGTATAGGGATTATATCAGGGTAGTTCTATTGGCAAGATAGCCGATAGGGATTGAACAAGGTTTCGTCGATCGAGCCAAGGGGTTGACGAACGGGTTTTGAATCTGTAACTGTGCGAAGAGCTTCAACAACAAATCTATAGTGAACCGTCAGAGATCGCAAGAGAGCGATACTCTGACCGTGGCTTAGTCAGTGTTGGGTTCGTTAATCACCTAGCACCGGATACCACGTAAAAATTCTGTGTCTGTGTTAATTTCTGTTCTTACTTTGTTTCACTTTTGGTTTTGTGTTCTTGGTGTGTTCTTCGTTGGGTGTTTGTTAAGTCTTATTGCAGGGCGCGTTTGATCAGAGAAACAAGAAAGGAGAAGTAGTGGAACGAGTTAGTGAAACGCAGCGTAGAAGAAATGACAAGTGGGCTGAGTTTGTGGTGTTTATTTAAGAGCAATCCGAGCCCAATCCATAACCAAACCAAAGTCTCTAATCTGCTGTCGTATTGCAAACATGTGAAAGAATCTATTTGCTCTTTGTGTAGATAAAAAATCTGATTTATCCTCAATTTTCTCACTCATTCTTGTCAAGGGTTGCAATCAGATTTTGCAGGTAATCGATTCCAAGAAGCAAATGGAAAAAGGCCCAAAAGGTAGATCAAGAAACAAAGGAATACAGGGAAAAGTGTAAGGTTTTAGAGAGCAAAGTCATCACGCTGGAGGCTTAAAATCTAAAACTAAGTGCTAGTAACAAAGGGAATCCGTGTAGGTGTCAATATGAAATTAGGAATCAATCAAATAAGATTAGAAGGCAGGTTGAATGTTATTACCGTCATAAACCTGGTCATGTTATTAGACATTGAAGAAGACGTATAAACTCTGAAAATCGGAAGAAACAATTGAATGACTTAACTACAAATGGGTTTAAGTCTTTTGATAGTTCAAAGAAAACCATACCCAAGAAAATCTGGGTACCAAAAACAAGTTGAGTATTAATGACTCAGGCTTGTCTTCAAGTGAGCATGAAGGCAAACTCTTGGATTCTTGACAGTGGTTGCTCACATCACATGACTGGAAACAAAATTCTATTTACAAGGTTTAAGGAAGGTAAGAAAGGTAAGGTGTTTTTTTTGGTGACGATAACTTTGCATAAATTCTAGGTTTAGGTCAGGTAGGATCTGGTCCCACTATTTCGAATGTCATGCTAGTTGATAATCTCAAGCGTAATCTGCTTTCGGTTAATCAGCTTTGTGATTTAGGCAACAAGGTAGTTTTGGAAACTAGTTTTTGCTACATAGAAAATAAATTGTCCAAGAAAAGTCTGCTCACCAGAAAAAGCGAAGGAAAGGTGTATGTTATAGATCTTGAAAGTGAGTGTATGTCAAAAGAACTTTGTCGTGAGTGTATGTCAAAAGAACTTTGTCTGGTTTCTCTAAACAATAATGAGCAATATGATTGGCACATGAAGCTAGGTCATGTTAATGTAGGGGTCCTGTCCAAATTAGAAAATCTTAATCTAGTTAGAGGCATGCCAAAGATAAAAAAGGTAAAAAGGATTGATTTTGTGCTGCATGTGCTAAAGGTAAGCATACTAGATCAAGTTTTAAAAGCAAATCAGTAATCTCCACTACCAGACCTCTTGAATTGCTTCATCTCGATTTGTTTGGACCAACAACGTGGTAAGTTATGGAGCTAAGAGCTATGCTTTTGTTATAGTAGATGACTATTCTCGTTTTACTTGGGTTCTTTTCTTGGCTCACAAGGATGAAGCCTTCAATAACTTCCAAACTCTGGCTAAGAAACTTGAAAATGAGAAACAAAGTAAAATTGTCGGGATTAGGAGCGATCATGGTGGAGAATTTATCTCTGAAAGTTTTGACACTTTTTGCTTGGAACAAGGTATTCACCACAATTTCTTTGCTCCTAGAACTCCGCAACAAGACGGAGTTGTGGAAAGGAAAAATAGTTACTTGATTGAAATAGCTCGGACTATGCTAAATGACTACAACTTACCCAAATACTTTTGGGTCGGGGCTATTAATTTTGCTTCTTATATTGTTAACTGAGCTCTTATTAGATATGAAATTAAGAAAACGCCTTATGAAATCTAGAAGGGGAGGAAACCTAATCTAGGTTATTTTCATCCCTTTGGATGTAAGTGTTTTGGGTTAAACACTAAAGAGAATCTAGGGAAGTTTGACCCCAAATCTGATGAGGCAGTATTTCTTGGTTATTCTAGTGTAAGCAGAGCTTTTAGAGTTTTTAACAAAAGGACCCTCAAAGTTGAGGAGTCCATAAATGTGATTTTGGACGAATCTGCCTGTGAGAATTCAGAAAATTCAGATGAAGACGAAGATGATTTTGGAATAGGAAACAATAGCAGCATCCCTGGGAGTACAGCTACTGCCAATGAAAGAGTTGTAACAAAAGCTTCGGCTGCTAGTGATAAAAATGACGCTGATGCGCACGAACCTCATCCTCCTCCACACATCAACAAGCGTCATCCTCCATCACAGAATATAGGTAAGTTTGGCGAAGGTATGGTCACTCGATCTAAGGCTCAA